CTCACTGTGGCAAGCTGACAGTGGACTGTGAATCTACTGCATATGCTGAGTCACACACACAACAGCTATAAACATTCACAAACACATGGACACACACGCTCAAGCGCGCAAGCAGTCTGGCACAAACATGGCCTGATCCTGGTTACCTGAAGCAACAGGTGAGAGGCTCCGCCCCCTGAGCTGATAAACAGATGGGGTGTGGAGAGATCTGTGTACACAATGCAGCGTGCACTGCAGATAATGTAGGCTGGTGTGTGTACATGTGTTAACTAGCCGAATAGGAGTAAGTTCAAACTGGCTAGCTCAAGCTAGTCATCCCATACTTTGGTTGAATCTGAACTAGATCTACAAATCCCATGTTACAACAAAACACTTCAGCATCAGGATGTCTTAGATAAGATACATACTTACATTGTTGTGCATGCCAGATATGTTGTTGCTCAGGCAACTACTATAGCTATAAACATGTTTACATAATCTATCTTGCTCAGCAAGGTTCTCTTCAAACTGTTGACTGTAGTTGATCTGTAAGAGAAGTTTATGCTAATACCTGCTAGAGAGCCAGCTAACAAGGAACATTCTCAGAACTTTGGCTTAAGTTCTGGCAAGTTATGAACAAACGTTTTTCTAGTGACGTTAATAGATCATTCGTTCAACATTATTTTGCCTTTATAATGTTCTCAAAATGTTAGCACAAAAGCATGTATTTATACATTGTTCATGGAAAGTTTGATTTTTGAAACATTTTATTTGGATGTTAACATTTTTTTTTTAAATGTTATTACGTGTTTCAGAGAACATTCAAAAGTAACATCCCCGTAATGTTTGCAAAAATTATAAAATGTCATATTCCCTTAGTGTTTGGATAGTCAAAAAGTGTTAAAAATTTAAAATAAAAAAGGGGACATTTGGAACCTTCAGAAATATAATTTTTATAACTTAATGTTAGCAAAACGCTCTTAGAGCATTTTTTGTTAGCTGAGGAACCCCTTAGCATTATTAATTGTCCTCTGACACATTTCATAACACACTGATGTGTACAGTTGAGCTACTGTAGCATCGCTAGAAGTGCCTGTGTAAAATAATATGTTTTGGGCCTTAGGGTACACACACAAAATACATTTTATTCTACATAAGGACATTTAGACATAAAGGACAAAACACAAGGGTTTGCAAAACTGGTGCTCTGTCAACCATCTAGTTGAAAAAATGTTTGCTCTAATGCAGTCTGATGCAAACATCCTTTGATCAATGAAAATTTAATTAACACTTTACTAGATTAGGGACCAATTCTCATTATTAACTAGTTGCTTATTAGCATGCACATTACTAGCATATTGGCTGTTGCATTGCTGTATTTTGGAAATGCAGTTTGCCATATTCACACTTGATTTCAAACTAATCTGGCGTCAAAGCAGATTTAACACATTCCTATCTACTAATTTTGCTGCAACGCAGGCTGACATAAGCATCCTTTGATAAATGACAATTTCAGACATGCGAGTATGGTGATACTTTCGTAAAACCAGTTTGCTGTATTCACACTTGAACCGTTGTCAAACCAGATCTTATGCATTCATATCTATCAAGTGCTAATTTTGCTACAACACAGTCTGACGTAATCTTCTTTTGATCAGTGACAGTTTCAGATTTGCAGTAACAGTTGTGCTTTTGGAAATCAAGTTTGCCATATTCACAGTTGATTACAAACTGAAGTGGTGTCAAAGTGGATTTTACACATTCCTATCAATCAAATGCTCCATCAGAGCCTTCTCTAGGGTGTAAGTGACCTTAAAAGAAATGTTTCTTCCTTTGAAATGTTACTGAAATGCTGTCCTGTTTTGCAACCCCCCATTTTCAAAAACCCAAATAGCCAAATCTCAGATCACCACATTCCATAAAAAACCTGATTCATCTTTGTTTCCTTAGGACACTGTTGCTCTCCACATCTATCTCAGTGGGTTTCGGTAATGCCCTGTGTGTGTGCGTGCTAAACACCAATATAAACACACAACCAAACAGCTGTGAAAATATTCATGACACTTCTTTTTAATGAAATGTCAGAGGGAGAGAGGAAAATATAGGCGCTGTTATGGAAATGCTCTGCACACACCACCTGCAAATTGCTATGGATAATTTGCAGTGTTGCCACACTCGTCAGAAGAGGCCGTCCATCGCTGTGACCTTTCTACCAATGCTTTCATTCTCTCGCTCTGCCACACTGAAGGTCAAACGGAGCACTAGTCTCAAATTGAACCTGTTGGTTGTAATTACCTTCCCAATGACATTTTGTTAGTCTTGGCCTGTAATTGTTTAGTGATAACTTTATTAATCATGTTGCTGCTTAGTGACTTGTGACTGAATGAAATAGCATGAGTGTGAGAGTGAGAAAGAGAGATTATAGGTAGATTTGACCTGTACTTGAAGCTGATTAATGAGCGAGTACATCATAAATCCATTCTAAACCTTGTGTTTGCTTACCCTAAAATCATTATGGTGAGCCCATATTAATAATTTATATTTTTAGACCTATCGGGATAGATTTTGCAGGTAACTGCATACTTCTGGCCTTCATCCGTTATGGATGAACAAAGGAAAGACGGTAAGGCTACTACTATATGCTGGTGTCATAATAATGGGAAAGGGAGATTTCCTGTGATAAAATATGACTTTTCAAAAATACGTTTAGTTTGCACATTTGCATTACATTTCCTGTGGATTGAGAAGGTTCACAAAACAGTGTTTATGTTGGTAACAATTCCAATCTATAAACCATTTACTACTTCGGTTTATTTGACTTATAGCCTACTAGCCGAGTTATATTAGATATTAGTTTCCACTGTTTTACCTTCCAGAATATAAATAGCAATTATCATGTCTAATGTCTGCATTGGCAAACTTCACGTAATTCATCAAATTAACCACGTAATTACCAAAACAATGTTTCTCCACAAGTAACTTGTAGATACTTAGTTACATAGTGTAGCTTTAAACAATAATTTTTTTTTTCTTTTTCTGAAATGTCAACTGTATGCAGAGTCAACAATAGGATAGATTCTTTAAGTATTTAAGTATGCCATGAGTAAGGGTGTGACTCCAACTATGTTAGAGATGAAGGGTGAGGTGTTTGGGAAACCTGTTTGGAAATAATCATTTTGCAGTTCCATGTGGTACGTACTACAGAGTTTACTTTTTTTTTTCATACACTGTTTCTCAGTATATTTTCATGTGAATAAAATGATGTGCTCTAAATGGGCCATTTTGGTTCTCTGCAGTACTCTGAGGTAAAATATGTCTAGATTTGGAAGAAAGACTCATTTTATCTTGTTATTGCATTAGGCCATTAGCTCTTGACACATTTTGACACCCCATACGGAATTTCAAAAGAAATTGGTTTTAGCACTGAACACCTTCACAAAATGATCAACTTTAGCACAAAAAAACATATTCTCAGTTTGTCACAGGCAGACTTTATAATGAAGAAAATGTGAGTGGTGGCCCATGAAAAATTCACTGGCCCTGGGTGTTGTAGGTGGCGGCCAAGACATTACTATGCAGTTGCTAGGGTGGCTACTAGGTGACCAGTTACTGGCGCAAGTCAAAAGAGCCCATCTATGATATTCTGATCCCTAGATATGGCTAAAATCATAAATATCATGGTTTAGCAAAGTAAAAGCACACCTCTCTTCAACAAGTCATGCAATTTGAGGTATCATTTATATCTGTAGCAAAAAAATGTAATCGTTTGAATCAAAACCCCCAATATCAGCAATAGTAATGGTGATGCTTGCCTTATTAAACATCACTAATTACAATTTGTGTCCTTAAACAGTTGGTTATTAGGCTTTTTGTATAGGCTATGATGAAAGGTTTCTGTGCAAAGCTAAAGTCAGCTGAGCACACTGTTCAATCTGAATCAGGCTTAATTTACACACTGACAAAGGAGACAATAGAAGAACAGGAGAAAGAGAGAGAGGGAGATTATACACTTCTGCTCACCACATTCCTTTCTAGAAATGGAGGAATGAGGAATGAGTTCACCCTGCCAGGAGTTTTCTGCATGACTCTTCACTGATTTGAATCGGTTTGTGTGAAAGTGTTTGTAGTGAGTGAATATCCAACACGCTTATATTTCATCTTACATCTGAGCTTCTTCAAATACCCACCTTTTGTCTAGATGGTATGCTTTTTGAACAATATTGAAGGAGCTCCAACTCATCCAAAAAGTAATTAAAATCACGAGAAACAGTGTAAGAGCATATAGTATGTATAAACGTGTGAAGGTATATGTGTAGTACTGTATGTTCGAGCAGTACAGCGGTGCTGGTGTCGGTCCGTTTGCACATGCTTCACGCCAACGGGTGGTTTTCTTTCTTCTCGCAGTCCGTCTCTCTCTTTAAAATGATAAATATGTAATTTACATAAGAGACAAAAGGCTGCGACCTGCTTTAGGTCCATTTTCTGTTGAGGTGCTTTAGATAAGGACGGCATACAGATGAAAAATAAAAGTGGTCAAACTAAAAAAATACCTGTCTGAAATGAGTGTCTTCAGTAGAGTCGAGTAGCTTTTAAAATCATATTTAACACAATATGTCATAATGCTTCGGCACAGACTTTCAGTATCTTCAAATTATAAAAGGTAAACACGCCACAGGTGAAAAAAGTGAGATAAAATTATGGCTAAGAAACGAAAAGAGTAAAGGTAAAAAACAAAACAAAACACTGGTTTCATTTTAAGGCCAACAATATCAAGCTCCTTTAAGGAATCAATGACATTTTTTAACAAACAAGTAAGTTGTGTTGTGCTGATATGTGATTTCTGAGGAGTTTCTTTGCCAGTGCACACATAACTGAAGGCCATGTGAGTAATTGGCCAGTGACGTCTGTGATTAGCGCAAGAGCCAATTACAGCAGAGGAGGGGCGGGGCTTGAGTGGCTCCGCCCCTCTCGCTGGTCTCTTTATGGAGTGTGTAATCCCTGCGCTGACCCAGAAAGCGCTCAGCAGCAGCAGCAGCAGCCTGTTCAGACTAGAGTAGAGTCGCTGGAGATACCTGCGCTGCTTTACGGAGACTGAGAACACGAAACAGCATCTCTACAACCACAGGATTTATTTGACGGTATGTGTGTTTTATATAGAGTTCACTGTGGTAACGAGAAGGCTGAATCTTTTGTTCATTTGTAAATGTTATATTTGGAATCAACATGTATTAGTGATATTTAAATATCTGTACTGTTGGGCATACGGTTGGATAGGTTAAGTGATCTTATTTCTGCTCTGGTTTTAAGTCTTCTTACAACTCAAAAATATGTTGCTCTAGTGTCTTTTGTTCTTCTTAGAAAACAGAATAATGCAGTATGACAATATATCATTTCTTAAGAGTCAGTCTTTAAATGCTCTTTATGTTTGCGTCTGTATACACTTTATATTTGCATTATTGCTATGCTCAAATTGAACGTTAACGCTCGTGAGTGTAGGAGACGCTTCAACTTTTCTCTAAATACACATTCAGTAGCCTTCCTGCTGATGTTTGACGAAAGTTTCACTGTGGTCTGATAGAGATTGTCAAAGTCTGTAGCCTATATTTCATTTACAGACAGATTTCATCTTGGTAGAAAGAAGAGGATACATTCTTTGTTTTATGTAGACAGGCGGAGAGGTGAGGCTCCTATAGACCCCAGACGACATTGTCCTTTCATCTCTTATCTCTACCTCAAATGATGACATACATGAGACAAAATGAGTAATTCTTAAACATATGTTCTGATTCACTCCTGAAGCTATTGATGTTAAAGAGACAATAACACTGGACTGGACATTTACTGACAATGAATAGGACTGGTTTTGAGGGAAAAAAAGGAAAGTAATCTGCATGTTATCAACTGTATGAATTAGGAAGATGAATTATATATGTATATATATATGTATGTGTGTATGTATATGTGCTTGATTATAATGATTATAATCGTATTTGATTATAATGTCATTGCACTTTACAATCTAGTTTAATATAATAGACATTTTCTAAACACTAAACACTGCCCTGTCATGCAAGTAAATCCAATAATTCATTCCTCTTGACATTATATCTTGCTGACTCTGACATGCATCTGGCAGTAGGTTGGCTTTGTTTGCTGAACACTTTGTCCACCTCCCTGCCTGTTATTGTTTTGATCTTCCTGGCGTCTCCTTGATGCTCCTTACTGCAATATTAACATTGCAATATTAAAGGGCTCAAATCATCATGTATCTGCTTTAAGTTTGCAACCACAATGGGTTGTTGTTGAGATGTGTGTGTATATGTGTGTATATATATATATATATATGCAAAAACGTACGGTAAATAAAAACAATAAAACCCATTTTCTTAATCAGTATATTATATCTTATTTAATATACAATGTGTATAGTAAAGAATCAGCCTTCTTTACAATAATCACATTTTGTTGTTTTGCAGCCTGAAATGAAGACACAGTTTTTGTTTTATCCAGCTGTATTTACTCAGTGCAACAATAACATACAAGTGAAAGATAAAACACCATGTCAGAAGAAAAAAAATAAACCGAGTCACGGAGTTGGAAAAAGGATCACTCTCTTGTGTCAGTATTTTGTTGAAGCAGCTTTTGCTTTAATTACAGCCTTTAGTCTGTTCGGATTTGTTTTTACTAACTTTGCACATCTAGACTTTCCAATATTTGCCCGCTCTTCTTTGCAGAACTTAAGTTCAGTTAAATTTGATGGTGAGTGTTTGTGGACTGCAGTCTTCAAATCATATTCCACAGATGTTCAGTGTGGTTTAAGTCTGGGCTCTGACGAGGCCATGTAAGAACATTCACCTCTTTCTCCTTCAACCACTGTGTGCTCAGTTTTACTGTGTGCTTTGGGCCATTGTCATGTTGTTAGGTAAATCTTCTTCTCATTGACAACTTTCTGGCAGAGGGCAGCAGATTTTCCTGAAGAATTTAACATTATTTTGGCATTCTTGAGGAGTGGCTTTTTTCTCGCAACCCTCCCATACAAGCCACATTTGTGGAGGATTTGTGATATTGTAGTCACATGCACACAATGATCACTCTTTATCATAAACTCCTGCAGCTGCTTCAGAGTTGCTGTAGCTCTTGGTCGCCTCTCCGAGCAGTTTTCTCCGGCTCTTTCATCAGTTTGGAGAGACGTCCTGATCCAGGGAGGCTCTGTGTTTTACCAAATACCTTCTACTTCTTAATAATAGACTTCACTGTGCTTCTAGGCATTGATAAAGCCTTTGAAATGTTTTTGTCTCCATCTCCTGACTTGTGCCTGTCCACAACTTTATCCCAGAGATCTTTTGACAGTGTCTTGCAGCCGGTAGTTGATTGTTTGCTTCAGTTGCACTACCAAGGACTGAAATACTCCAGGAAAGCTCTTTTCATGCTGAGATAATCAAAATGACCACAGCTGATTCTGTTTTTTATTTTTTTATTTTTTCCTGACATGTTGGTGTTATATCTTTCACTTGGATGTTATAAGTTGCACTG